GCAGGGTGACAAGTCTCAGTGTCACAGCAGCCACTTGTCTAGAGCAAGAGCTTTCAGTCCCCTAAGCTCTGCAATGAAGGGGAGACCAGCCCTTCTACAGATATCTAGGAGAAGGAGACCCTGAGAAGTGACCCACAAAAAAAGATGAAAGCCCTGCTCTTAGAACACCAAGTTGAGCTGCATTTAAATCATGAGAGGGGTGCACATGAGCCAGGCCATTACGACTCATGCAGATGGTACAAACTGAACCTCAGAGAAGTCACTTGAAGGGCAGTTATATTTCAAACACTGACGACACAGGCACCTTCTCTGAACATTTCCTGCAGCCATCCAGGCCTCGCTAACGCAATTCGCTGTTATTCAAACTTTGACCTTGCAGGAGAACACTTGGATGGCTCACTGCCAAACTGCAACTGCATGATTCCTGTGGGTAACTGAGCTCACCAGAAACACAGTAATCGAACACCTCCATCTTATTTCCAGTTAGAAGCAATTTCAATTTCATTTTCCAGTGTCCACACGAGAAACGCGAGGTTTACAAGTGCTCCACTTCTGGCTTGTTTCAAGAAACAGGCAACCTACACAGAACAGCACTTGTTTTGAAACTTTTCAATGGCACTGCAAAATTAGTTCAGCCTGAAGTCAAATAGCAGTTCAGACCTCCAACATCACTGTCCAAGCACACGGGAACTCCTGGATTCATTACAAGAGTCAAACGAGGCTTGGCATCACTCAAGCACCAGTGAACAGAGCTTTAAATTCAGATCCTTCACTGCTTAACCACTACAAACATGTGATGAAGTACTTAAGTACTTTGCATCTTAAACACTGGAGGAAAGTAGCAGAGGAAGAGATGAAGGTAGTTCTAGACTAAGAAGATAAGGTTCAACCTGGAAGCTATGAATAGGACCTTTAAAATTCTCAAAACAAGCACATTAAGTTAGATGTCAAAGGCCTTCTCTGCCATGCCCACACATTAGTGGTGCTCAGCACAGTAAGATCTGGGAGTGCTTCACACATCTAACAAACAGCTATGCTCTAAATTACATTTGCATAGAAGAAAAATGCTCAGGATAACTTCAATTTCTCTTTCTGTTAAAAAGATCTCTTCCAGTTCTTAAACAGAATCATATTAGAGACCAGTGCTTGATGTCAAAATCTGCCCTCAAAGCCCAGAAGGCATTTCTGTAAACTGTCCCTAGAGAGACAACACTAAGACAAAACGGTTCACTGAAGTACTGCAGGGCACCATTAAAAGGTACAGCAAGAAACTGGATTCTGTACAGAGATGCCACCAACTGGAAAACAGCGATAATCTGATGTTACTGTGGAATTCTGCAGTTTCCAGAAAAGCTCCAAAACTATAAAGGCTAATGCTAACTTCAAGATTTCAGAGGTTAATCTCCCTGTACAATAAACTCAAAGCTTCCCGAGTAAGCAATTGAAGCACAGCTCCAGCAGCACACCCCAAAAGCGACGTCGCAGACAAGCGCTGGGCTGCACAACCTGCAGGAACAGCCAAAGCAAAACAAGTCTTACGTGCACCGCCTCAGCCACCCGGTGGTACTTCGTCTCCTCTGCAGTGAGGCCTTTGTGGGGGGTGTAGCCAGCATCTCTCAACCCTGCCTGCTGCTCAAAGCGCTGGATGCTCTCCTGAGTCTGCTCTGCAACCAACAAGAGCACATGTTGGCAAAGAAGAACCCCGCTGACGGTTGTAGCAAACAAAGACAACTGAAGTGGCCAAGAGGCAGACATTTCATCATTTGTCTCTGTGTATCACAGAACCACCCAGCTTGGAAAAGACCTTCAAGACCGTGCAGTCCAACCGTGCACCTACCAATCCTATCCAGAGTACGCTGGAAAATGATCCTGAGGCACAGGGCTAAGTGACTCAGATAAGCAGTGATCTGTCCCAAATCAGAGGATGTATTGCAAAATGCATCGTCAGTAATTAAACTCACCTTGTCCAACAAGCTGCACCACTGCTAATTACAGCATCCTAAATTTAGGAGACCCCAATAAGACAAATATTTTAAGTACCCTCCTAGATTTTGGGGTTTTTTTCCCCCAAAGAAAAAAGCCACATCTTCTGAAATACTGCCCACACTGATCTGACACAGACTTGGAGAACAGGGGGTAAAGATTCCCACAGCAGTTCTGCACGAGGTGAAACAAGCTACTTCAGCCAGGCATGGTCAGCAGCCAGCATGCTGACACAGCTTCAGCTCTTGAAAAATGAGCACTTTTTTTTGCTATCAGCATTGGAAATTTACTCACTAGGAGATCTAAAAACAAAGTTGCTGGAAAAAGCTTGAAGTCTTCTTTAAAAGAGAAGAGTTCCACATTAAAGTTACTTGCAGGGATAGTGCATTGTGTATGAGAAATCTAGAGGCTATTTGCATATTTATTTACAGTTCATTAACAGCTTGGAGTTCCTAACTTCTTACTGCACAGGAATATTTTTAGGCTATTATGCTTTTATCTAGGTTAGCTCTGTGCCATTGGACTAGAACAGAAGCTGTTTTCTAGCAGAAAGTTCCTACTCCTGGACATTATTTTCCAATACCTGTCAGTTAATTTTGAGCTAAGTCAGAAACAAGTGTAAGCCTATTTCAAAATGCTGATCTAAACGTGTCTAGGAGCCTTTCAAAGCACTGATAATAGGAAAAAAGTTAATCCCAGATGTTAAGAGAGGCAGCAGGCACAGGGCAATACATGATTAATTCCCCTTGTTGCAAAAGAGACTGTGCTCTCTGTAAACACAACTGACCCAGTTAGATTTTAAACCTTCATGATTTACAAGGTTTGTTTGTAAAGCATTACTGTTAGCAAGACACCTGCTGCTATCACCAGAAATGCCACGGAGTGCTCCATTAGCTCGGTATGTCAACTGTCCACACCACTTCAGTTAGTTGCAGAGCTCTACCCATCCCCTGAAAACAGCAAGTTAATAAGCAAACATACAGTAGCAGCAGCACCAGGCTGCAGCACAGTGTGGTGTGGACTGCAGCACCCTATCAGCACTGAACATTCCCTGCACTCCCCCTCATCACACAGCTTACAGCACCTGGCAAGACAGAGGCTGTAAACAGGGCCTATTCTTTAATGTCTTGCTTCCTTCTAGAGCGTCCTCTACAAACCTCCCACACCTTAAGATCAGAGCAGTAAGAATCCACAAAGCACCCAGGAGCTCTGGCAGTTACCTCAAGGCACTGACAGCCCATTCATGTGCCCACACCCCATTAATCACCACGGTACAGAACAGCGAGCTCTTACTTGTAATGAGAGAGTTCATGATGATATGAGTGGCCTTGGCCTTCACCACAGGTACCTTATTCACACTTTCGGTGGAAGATGAAGGAGTTATGACAGGTGCATTCATGTTAGCATCCCCTTCTTCAATCTGTGCAGAAGAAGCAGGGCGTTTTAGATCAGGAACTATCACAGCTCTGTCATGATGCATCTCTAAGTGCTTGAACGAAACACCAGGGAGAACTGCTAGCCTTTATCCTACAGAAAAAGTCCATATGCTGTTCTAGCCTTAGCCCAGGAACGCTTAAGGCCTGAATATTATTCTTAGCAGCAAACAAGTGATTGCAACCCAACATGTAAGAACACACTGAGCTCAGAGCCAGCAATGTGCTACATTTAGTACAAAGCAGTTCAACAGAAAAGAAACTAGAACGTATCTATTTCCATCTGCATAACTGCAAATTGGACTGCAAGGTCAGCGGGGCAAGAGCACTGTTCACAGACAGCGCAGAAGCACCTGTATGTACACAGCAGTCACACACTGCTGTCTGATGGTTAGCTTTTATTTTCTCCTCATTTCTTATTCTTTCAGTTTCTTACTGAAAGGAACCAAAGCTGCACTGCTGACAGTGAGATCCCAGCAATGAAGCTAACAGTGAATGCCAGAAAACAAGGAGCCTGCTGGCACAGACTGCCTCCTCCTAACATACGGGCTGCTGTTCCCTGACCACAGCACTTGATTTTTGTGCCAAACCACAGCTCCTGGGCTTCTTCCACAAGAAAGACGGTAAAACGAAGCGTAAAGTAGAGGTTAAGCTCAAAGGAAAGCAAGGTTATTCCGCTTCTGCTCAAGCACATTCCAAATCTTCTAAACGTAAGAGCTAGCCCTGCACTCGAAGCATCCCCAAAGTCATTTGCTCTGGTTAAACTACATTCAGCTGGAGCCCGAAGCGTGCTTCGGTCACAAGTTCCCCCGCTGGCCAGAGGCCCCTCGAACACACGGCCGCCCAGACGGAGCGCGGAGCCGCTCCCAGCCCACAGCCGTGCCGAGCAGCAGCGGCCGGGCAGCGCGTACCTTGGCGAGCTCCTGGTACTTGCGCTCAGGGATGACGGGCTGCTTCCACAGCACGTTGGCGCACAAGTCGGCGGGCGGCGGCGTCATGGGCGCCGTGTCCTCCAGGGCGTCGTCGTAGCTGAAGGCCCTCCGCGGCACGCCCAGCGGCAGCGACATCCTGCCGGGCAGCGCCCCGCCGCGCCGCTCCAGCGCTGCGAACAGAGAGGCCGGCAGCGCTCAGCTCGGCGCCCGAGCCCGACCCGGGCCGCCGCGCAGCGCGGAGAGGGCCTTACCGGGGGCGTCCGGCTGCCGGGCGCTCATGGCGGCGTTGCGGTCCGCGGCGAGGCGGGACCGGCGGGATCAGCGGGACTGGCGGGCCGGCGCGGCGGGAGGCGCGGGGCGGAGCGGTGGCGCCATGTCACGGCACGGGAACGCGCGACCACCGCCTCCCCAGGTGATACGTGAGTGGGCCCGCCCCCTCGTGGGAGAGCCTTTATAGGCGGCCGGTCTCGCGAGATTCGGCTGTGTGCGCGGGGCATGCCGGGAGATGTAGTCGGGAACGGGGTGGGACTGAGGGGACGAGGAGCATCGGCTCTGCGCAGCGCAGCCAGTCGTAGAATGGTCCGGGTTGAAAAGGACCGCAATGATCATCCAGCTTCAAGCCCCCTGCTATGTGCAGGGTTGCCAACCACCAGACCAGGCTGCCCAGAGCCACATCCAGCCTGGCTTGAACGCCTCCAGGGATGGAGCATCCACAGCCTCCTAGGCAACCTGACCTCGCATTCGAGGCTGCGTGGCCGGGGGCAGCCCCAGCTGGGTGTAAAGAGTCATAGGCGTGTCCTGCCGCGGGCATCGTGGCAACCACAGCCCCGTCCTCCACCACTATACGAGCCCTGCCCGTTCCACTTAGCACCACTGGGGAGGCTCCAGACCCCACTGCCTGCCTCCCTCTTCCATAGAATCACAGAATTGCTGGGCTGGAGGGAACCTCAAAACCCACCCGGCCTCAACCCTGCCGAGTGCTGGCTGCCCCCACCGGATCAGGCTCTGCAGGGCCTCATCCCACCTGGCCCTGAGCACCTCCAGCTGCTCCAGTAGCGAATTTCTTCCTAAAGTCTCGCCTAAGCCTCCTTTAGTTTAATGCCATTCCCTCTTGTCCTACTACACCATGTAAAAAAGTCAGTTCCTCCTCCCCTCCTGCTTATAAGCTCCGTTCAAGGACCTACCAACCCTCCCCCTTCCTCTCTCCCTTTCTCTCCACCCCCCGCGGTCAGAGCGGCCCCTTTAAGCGCGGCGCTGACGCCGGGGGCGGGCACATCTGGCCATACATCTGGCTGCCTCGCACGCTGCCAGTGCCGGTACCGGTACCGCATGGCTCCGACCGGCGTCCTGCGCAACCTGACGCTGGTCCTGGGAGCCGCCGTGGTGGTGCTGGGCTCTCTGCTCTTCATCGCCTGGAAACTCTACTTCCGCGGCACCGAGCCCGCGGGCACCTGGGACAGCTGGGAGCTGCGGGAGCTGCAGGAGCGAGACCCGGCTGGTAGCACGGTAAGGGGATCCAACCCGCCCCCCCTCGGCCCGGGGGCACAGCGGCGGGGCTGTCCTTCGCTGGGATCCCCATGGGGATGGGGAAGGGCACGGGGCGGGGGCTCATTCCCCGTGGTGCTGAAGCTGCTAGATCTGAAGTCCCCGCCCAGAGCCCACTTAGTTGGAGAAGGGGGCTTGGGATGGGGGTATCAATGGGATCCCCCAAGCCCTTCCTGTGTAGCAAGGGGGCTCGGTGGCCGGAACCCCCCGGTTTGGGAATGGATGTGTGGGATCTGGGGGCCGGTGGGACCCTTTGCTTCAGTCCGACTCCCAAGCAGCCTCACTCTGTCCTGCTGCTCACAGGCGGTGTGGAAGCAGGTGCTGGTGCTGGGGCTGGATGGCGCAGGGAAGAGCAGCGTCCTGCACTACATCTGCAGCCAGAAGGCCAGGACACGCATCCCACCCACACTGGGCTTCAATTCTGCCCAGCTGCACGTCGGGGGGCTGGAGATGGACCTGCTGGAGGGTAAGGCAGGCCCCTCTATCCCCGTGGGGACGCAGCATTCCCCCACACTGGCACTGACGCTGCCCATCTCCCACAGTGGGTGGCAGCTACAACCTGCGGGCGTATTGGCCGCTCTACCTGAGCGATGCCCACGTGCTGGTGTTCGTGGTGGACTCGGTGGACAGGTCACGCCTGCTGACCGCACGCCAGGAGCTGCACACGCTGCTGGCTGAGGAGCCCCGGCTGCCGCTGGTTGTGCTGGCCAACAAACAGGTGGGTGCCTCCCAGCGCTGACTGCAGCCATACCAACCCTCCCGAGGGCCTCAAGGGCAAATCCTTATGACCCAAATCCCCCGGCTTTTGCAAAACCTGCACTCTCAGTGCCCACATCCTCCAGACATTATCACAAGTGTGGGCGCTGCTCCTCTTGCCCCAGCAAAGAAGTTTCAGGAGTGCAGCATGCAGAAACTCAAAGGGGAAATCCATTGCCCAGGCAGACGGCCAAGCGCATGCCTGCTGCTGTTTCCCATTCGGTTCCGCTGCAAGAGCAAGCAATCCCTGCTAGGGCTGCACGGCCGGACGGGTTCTTGCCAACCGACAACCGGCTCAGCAGACACTGTGCTGCTCCCCGCCCATGGGCTTGTGGCCACACCACCCTCTTCAGCCAGCTCCTCTCTGCCCACAGGATAAGAGTGATGCCCTAAGCACGGAGGAGCTGCGGGAGGAGCTGGCCCTGCACTTGCTCAGCGGGCAGCGGGAGCTCTTCCTCCTGCCCACCAGTGCGACGTGGGCTAGTCTGAGCACAGCCACCAGCATCCTGCACGTGAAGAGCCTGCTGGTCACCCTGCTGTCCCAGCCCTGAGCGGACAGGCTGGCTCCCACTGGGATGGAGGGAGCTGCTGGAGCTGGGACTGCGTCCTGCAATGTTTGGGGTTGGGCTGACACATGGCTGCACGCAGGATGTGAGCAGTGGGCTCTGCTCTCTGCCACAGGGAGAAGGCAGATGCATCCCCCAGTTCAGGGCAGCAAAAGCACGGGGCAGAGCCCTGCACCTTACACAGCAGCCCCACAGAATACTGAACAAATGGGGCTGAACCCAGCTTGCTGTCCGGATGGAAACCCATAAGGTGGGCATGAGGTGCAGAGCAGTGTGAAACCATAAGGAAGCTCTTGGAAAGCTGAAGCAACCCTTCCCCTGCTGTTATGGCAGCGGGGTCTGGATTCACGATGCCCCTGCCCCCTGCAGGGTACCCTGGAGCTGATGTGGCTGATGCAGCCCCCTTCCTGCTCACACAGGAAGAGATGAGCCCACAGTGCTTACCCAGGGGAAGAAACAGCCCCTCTGCCTGCAGCAGAGTTCTTGGCTTTCCTGCGGATGAAGGCCACGTGGGCTCTCCTTCCTGACAAACACACCAAGCCACGTGATGCTGCCCTGTAGCCCAGGCTGGTCTGATGCACAGCCATAGGCAGGAGCCCCTCACCTGAGCTGGGCACAGCTTGCCCTTCCCCAAGCAAGGGGATATTTTAAGTATTTAAAAGCCTGTTGAGCAGAGATGAAAGCAGGTACCTGGCACCCTGCTCTGCTTCCCCTGCTTCATCCTGAACAGGGGATATGAGTGTGCTGTTTGCTCTGCTGCCTGTTCCATCCTTGTCTCAGGAGCTGCAGAAAGCCCTGTCTGCAGGAGAAAAGGCTACTTCATCAGGACAAAGGACTGGGCCCTTGGAAACTGACAGGGGAAATGGGGAAGCACTTGGGGTAAGGAAATACATGCCAGCTGGTCTCTGCTGTGAAACCTTTTATACAGTTGCTCCTTCCTCTTATGAATAAATGAGGCTGATGACTCGGCTCTGTTCTCTGGCTCCTTGCAGCAAAGGGGCCATCAGCCCAGGCTCCCCGAACTGGAGGCAAAGAGGTTGCTTTGGGGGAAGCAGCCCCTGCTGCTTACAAGGAAATCAGCAAGGGCTCTGCCTAGCCCCTGCAGTCGCCAGCCCCACACCCACAGAGGGTAATGCATATCTGCTGCCTGTGTACTACACGTCAGTGCCAGGAGCTCTAACAGGAATGGAAGCCCACAGGCAAAACATTCCCACCAGCATGAAGCAGTAATTTATTTTAACAAGGTGGAAAAAGCGCTGGCTTGCACTCAGAAAAAAGGGAGTGGCATGGCACATTCAGTCTGCATGCCACAAGCCTCAGTCAAGAGTCTTTCATGCCTGCTTATATAACTCTGTCTAATGAAGGTCCTTCCTCCATCACCAGAAGCTTTGCACAGCTCAGCCTACCCAGAAGCCACAGCCGACAAGTGACAGTCACCTGCCTGTGGTTCACAAACGGTGCACCAAGTCTGTGCTTGCAGGCAAACTGGAGGACAAAAAGGGGCAGTCACTGCACATCCATCTTCTCCTGCTTGAGTGATGCAACAAAATCCTTGTACTCCTCAGGATAAAAATTTTTGTACACACCGATCTTCCTCTTGATCTGTTTGGGAGTGTCCTGGTAGTAGTTCTTTTCATCACGAGCCATTTCCTGTGACAAAGCCGAGAATACATCAGAGGAACAGCAAACACGGATCTGCACGGCCACGCTCCAGGCAGGCTGCAGCCAGTGCCTGCCAGGTTCTGGCTGAGGTTCAAAGCACTATTTCCCCTTAGAAATCAGCTGACGACAAACCAAGATCCAGGGCAGGGATGTGTGGCAACTCTCACCATGCAGAAGAGCCAGAAGCGAGCTGTTCCTTGCTTTGAGGCACCCAGTGCTTACCTTATAGTTCTCCCCATGGTTCTGTATCATGTACCGCACATAGTCAATGAGGTCTCTTGAGAGCGTATTTGACTTCTTCTCAGGAAGACTGGCCTCAAATTCCATCTCTAGGCAGAAGGTAGAGGCACTGTGATGCAGGCAGGCAGGGGAGGGAGGGAAGCAGCACTTCCCTGAGTTGAGCCTCTGCGGCACAGCTCTGTGCCTGCATGCTTCACTGCCCAGCACAACCGAGAAGGAAAATGAATGAGACAGTGAGGAAAATGAACGAATGCTGCAGGCACGCAGCCCTGCAGCTCACACTGTGAGGAAGGAGTGGAGATGCTGCCACCCCTGCTGTGGTGTGTGACTGCTAAAGCACTGCTGTTGTACTTAGAGTAGGGCAGCCACAGGTTCTTGTCTCACTGGTGTGGGACATCATTGAGTTTGGACTCAGAATTACAAGATGCCCACTGAGGCAGCAGGTGGAAAAAGGCAGCACAGGAGAGAAAGGAAACTCACAGGACAGGACAGGCTGGGAAGAAGAGCTGTTTTTGTTCCAGCTCAGCTCCAGCCTGGCTGGGAACCTGCTGTGCACACTCACAAGCCTTCATAGAATCACAGAATGGCCAGGGTTGGAAGGAACCTCAAGGATCATGAATCTCCAACCCCCCTGCCACATGGACGGCCACCAACCGCCACGTTTAATGTTAAACCAGGCTGCCCAGGGCCCCATCCAACCTGGCCTTGAACATCTCCAAGGACGGAGCATCCACAACCTCTCTGGGCAGCCTGTTCCAGTAATGGCCTTAAAACAATTGCATCAGAGTTTGTATGAGAACTAACAGCTTTCCCGACCCGAGCCCCCCACAGCGCAGCACTGACCGCTCAGGACGTAGGGCTTCCGCACCAGCATCTTCTCCTGCTCCTGTCCATCACTCTCCGTCTCCATCCTCTGCATTGAGAGAAAAAGCACCTCGAGAAAAGTGCGTTTGGAGAGGGCTGCCAACACGTTACTTCCGCAGATCTGAAAGGTCCACGGACCGGGACATCTCCCACGTCTAAAATAAAGCTTTTTTTTTCCCGTATTTCCCCATTTAGCTCAGACCACAGACGCGCCCACGAGAGCCCGTCCCGCCCGCGCTCACCTGCAGACGCCTCTTGGCGATGGGGACGGCCTTGTTGGGGTCCCCGGCCAGGCCCATTTCGGCCAGGTTCTGCGCCACCGACTTGGTCGCGTCCCACGCATGGCGGATGTGTGAGCTGCACGGGGACAGGCACGGCTTAGGGGCTGCGATCACCGCCCCGCGCGGTGCGTACGCGCCCCCCGCACCCGCGCAGACCGCGCCCCCGGCCCTCACCACTCGATGCGCGGCGCGGCCTTGCGCCGGGCGCTGCGGTACAGCCGCTTGCGGTTGAGGCCGTAAGCGAACTTTTGCCGCCGGTTCTTCCCTTTGGCCTTCGGCATGGCTGCCCCACGCCGCCGTCGGGCCGCACCGCTGGGCCGGGCCTCGCCGCGAGGCACCACGGGAAGCGGAGTCTCGCGTGAGGGAACAGCCGCGATGCCGCCCAGGCCGCGAACTACAGCTCCCGGCACACCCCGCGGCGGGGTCACGTGGCTCTGCCGGGAGCCGGCCTACGGCGGGCGGGAAGGGTCGCACCGTTCGCTGTCCCCGCGGCCGCAGCCATGGCGGCCGGCTCTCCCCCGCCCTTGGAGCCCATCCCGATGCCGGTGTACCGCGATGAGGGCTTCGCGGACAAGTTCCGGCGCAAGACGCGCGAGAACCCGCTGGTGCCCCTCGGTGAGGGCCCGGAAGGGCGCTAAGCCCCGGCAGCCGGGGGTGGGCGCTGCTCCCTGCGGGGCTTCGGGGAGACGGGGGCAGGGGGGGACTGGGGCTGGGTCGGACTCGTCTCAGTGTCCGTTCGTCTGTCTGTCCGTCTGTCTGTCCGTCCGTCCCCCACAGGCTGTCTCTGCACCCTGGGCGTGCTGACCTACGGCCTCATCAGCTTCAAGAGGGGCAACACGCGCCACTCGCAGCTGATGATGCGGGCGCGGGTCATGGCTCAGGGCTTCACCATCGCGGCTCTGCTGGGCGGCATGGTGGCCACCGCCCTCAAGGCCAGGAGCTGAGCGCGAGGAGCGGCACGGCTGGAGGACCGGCGCTGCCTGCGGGCGTGAGACGGCTGCGGTGCGTTGGAGCCGGTGTCGGAGATGCTGCGCGTCACATAGCGTCGAAGTGTGGCTAATATACCTCTGCTGATAACCTCACGTTTGGGCTGCGGTGATTCTTTGATTCCCTGAGATCTCCCGTGTCTGCTGTCACCGCCTGCTGAAATTGGCTCCTCTGTTGCTTGGTGGTGCCTCTCCACACCGAGGTGTGGCTTTAATCAGGCTATGTAAAAGCAGTTGAGAAATGCGTTGCTTGGGTGGGAAGGAATGGCTCCATTTGTGGTTTGATCCGGGCAGGGCAGAGTTCATAATCAGTGCATGAGTTATTTGGGGAGAAGGTGCAATCCGTCCAGCTGCAGCCGATGAGTAACAAAGTGAATTGCAGCAAAGGTGCTGAGCAGTACGGGATTGCAGAGCACTGCGGAGTCAAGAAAGTCAGCAGTGTGAGAGGAGTGGGCGCTGCTGCCTCTGGGCTGTGGTTAGGTCATAACTAGGACACAAGGTGTAACACCTGTGCAAACAGTGTGGGAATTTGGGTTCCTGAACAGACTGCGTTCTCCAGAACGCACTGATATTTAGCTGCTTTTACTGAAAGGTCACTTCTGCACAACTTGCTGCATCGCATGAGTTGGGACCAACTGCTGGGCAAGATCCAGCATTCCCAGAAGGAGCTGTTTCCCTCAGTTTGGCAAACATCTTCACAGGTGGCCCTGAGTGCCACAGTTTACATTATTTCCCAGCACCAAGGGAACCCACACAGCCCGCTGTGGGGAACGTGCCCAGGCTGCTCTTCACTTTCTTCATTAGCTGCTTTGTAAATCTTTCCCAGAAGCTTTGCTGCCAGCCTGGACAACTGTGGGCAGGGTGTGTGTGGAGGAACCGCTGTGCAGACTTGTGAGCTTGGCCCATTGGCAAAGCCGTTTGCAGCCAAAGACAGGAGTTCCACAGGACAGGAAGCTGCTTGGATGGCTGCTGTGGTGCAGGAGGCTCAGGAGCAGCTTGCCCAAGTCTGCTCAGCATGTCTGGGTAAGCACACATGCCTGTGGTCAGAGCACAGCAGCTACACTCTCATCCTGCTGCTGCTGCTTGTCTCAGCTCAGAGCAAACCGTGTAGCCCTAGGATGTGGTTCTACAGCACTGTCCTTTCTGCAGGCTTTGCAGGTATGGATTCTCCTTAGTGCACATGCTGAAGGATAAAGACAACAGTGCCTTGTAGGGTCAGTTTGGAGATGTCGGTTTATTGTAACAGGTGATTTGAACAGTCACATATACCAAAGCCAAAGGGATGTAGAACAGCAGTGGGCACTGCTCCCCAAGATGCCCTGCCCAACATAGGGTGCATGGCAGCCAGGGGACTGCAGAGCCTGGCTACCTGCTAGGACTGCAGGCCCAGAGCGCAGCCAGAGGCTCTTCTATCTGCTCTGCAAAGAAAGGCAGATACAGGCAGCCAGATCCCTGGGTCCATCCTGCACCACAGCAGAGATGCCTATATGTGCTGCAGTGCAGGGACACAGAGGAGGAGTGATCAGCCATTCAGACAAGGGGCACGATTCCAGCACAAAACACAATTATTCCTACACACCCATTCCCTTTTCCAGCCCACTACCAAAGATGACAGCATTCTCCAGGCCTGTCAGGCAGCTGCAGAGCTACTGCTGTGCCTATGAGCCTGTGCCTACACAGCAAGAGGGCAGACAACCTTGATTTGTGGAGCTGTCACTGCAAAAGAGCTGTATGTACTGAATTTACTGGTGGAGCAGGGCTCTGCAGCAAAACTTTGACAAATGGTTTATGCTCTCTGCTCCATGTCCTCTCAGACTGTTGCTGCAGGCCCTTCCCCAATCCACAACAGGCCGGTCCTAGAGCACAAGCTCACAGAAGCTGCTCTGCTGCAAGGTGTAAGCAGACCTTATCAACACTCCTACAGCTAACCAGTTCTGCAGGTTTCCAGGGCTGGGGCTCAGAGCCAGAGGGGCTGGTGCCAGTCCTGCCAAGCGAGGAGAGAAAGCAGGTGTTTGGGCTGGAAAGTTCACCTGATGAGGCAATGAGCAGGACCTGCAACTTGCCATGCTGCCTTTGGTGTGCAAATCCAGTGGCATGTGGGCCAAACTGAAGCCACAGAGCAGCTGTCCAGCTGCAGACAGATGTGTGATTTGTTCTCCAGGGACAGCAAAAGCCGTAGGCCCAAACCTCTGCCTAATCCTGTTATGGGCCTCTGGGTGAGGGAGCTGGAGGTTTGACTTGTCCCACAGCAGCTGGACCTTGCCACCTGCTTCCCTACAGCCATACAGCCTCCAGCTGCCTCCCTCGAAGTAGGAGAAGGCACAAAACAGAGCCAAGGGCCCCCAAAGCTGAGCACTCCATCTTCCCAACAGCCAGTGGCCTTGTAGGAGGGTCAAGAAGCTTCCTGCATGCTTGTCCTGTGGCCTCTTTTCAGCACCCTGCACCACAGAGCTGTCTGCCAAGAGCAGCCCCACAGACAGCCGGGATATCAACACTGCAACTGCCAGTTTTTTGGGATGCATGGCCAGGTCAAGTGCCCACACTCACCCCTCCGTCCCCACCAGCCCTGTGGCATCATGCTGCTGCCATGCTCCCTGTAGGATCTTGTGTTGTGGAGATGAGTTTAGGCTGTTGCTCAACCCCAACCCTACAGCCAGTTCTGCTCTAAAACCCCCACAGGAGGGCAGAAAGGAACCAAGGTCCCCCCAGTATCTCTGCCCCAGGGACCCAATCCCAGACAAAGGGCTGTCATGCCACAGGCAGGAGGTGGGCAAGTTTGCTCTGAGTGCAGCCCTGGATGAGATGGAGGACACCGCGTAGGAGGTGTTCTCCTTCTCACCCTGCCAGGCAGTGGGGCGTGACTCTGGCTGGAGGCTCCTCTGCTAACTCAGCTCTGCCACCCAGTGTCGCTTCCCAGGGAAATGCCACAGTAATAAATAAGTGTAAAAAGAGACCAATGAACCTTTTAAGCAAAGGAAAACCATGGGGAGAGTTACAACCATTGATTTGAGCACAGCCAAGGTGCACACCAGAGACCAGAGGGCAGGCAGGGCATAGGCCCCTTGTGTGGGCTGACCCCGTGAAGCCATCTGCCTTGGTGAGCAGCAAGGCAAGGGGAAGGGCCTTGCCCTGCTGCACTCCTGGCTGTGCCAGCTGGCAGCTAGCGGGACAGGGGTGTCTGTTTGAGGGAGATGAGCACCGAGCGCATCCGTGAGACATCCTTGCTTTGCTTGCTGCTCTTAGGGTTGAAGTCGCAGAGCTGGGCCACCTTCTCCCACTCTGAGCCTGGGGTTTCCTCCTTGGACTCCTTCAGGAATGCTTCCTCCGAGGCCCTGCAGACATGTTGAGGGTTGGGTTGTCACTGGCAGAACTCTTTCTGAGAAGACCCTCCCCTCTGGGAACCCATTGTGTCCCCATTTTCCTGTCTCACTGCTCCAGACAATGAACACAGCATCCTCTAGGATCCAGAGATCTGGGATGGTCAAGGCTGCTGCTGGCTGCACTCACCTAAGACAACGTTCATCCAGAAGCAGGGGGGCGTCTGCCTGCTCTCAAGACTTCTCCTCCCCCAGGACACTCCCTTAAAAGCCCTAAACTCCACAGCTTTGTCTCTTAAACCAGCTCCACCGGGGGGCAATTTCAAGAGCTCTGCTTGCTTCCTAAGCATTTGGAGGTGCTCAGCTGAAGCATTCCCCCTCTGGAATCTCACCAGGGCCCAGCACCTCCCAGCATCCCCCCTTTCCTTGACTGGGCAGCCAAAGTGCTGAGGCAAGGACCCCAGACCGTGCAGGGCAGAATATGGTCTGTAAGGCACACATACACATAGCCAATCACATCGGCGTCCGGCTGCTGGTAAAAGGCTTTGTCAGCGATCCTAGCCCCGAGGCACAGACAGAGAGAGAACGTAGAGCAGACAGGCAGGCAGAGGGTTAGAAAGAGAGAAACAGAGTGGGGGTTAGCATCCTCCCACAGACCCATTCATCATGCCACACACAGCATCAGAAAAACCTGCCAGCAATAACAGGGCTGCATAGCTTCCCAACCCCTCCCACACATGGGACAGGAGTCCCTCAAATCCCACTGTGTTCCCCCAGCCTTCAGCTGGGACCAGAGCAGTTCTGAAGGGCCACCAGAGCTGCCTGGAGTACTGGGGCATGGTCTGGCAAAGCCCTGCCTCTGCAAGGCTGGGTCCACTGTGGAGACAGAGCTCCCTGGTTACTACAGGAAGGCACATCTAGCTGCAACAGCTGCTCCCACTGAGCCCTGCCAGTCTCAACCCTAGAGGCCATGCAACATACCTGTTGTTTGCTCGGTTCTTCTCCATTTGCTCATTCTGACGCAGATTCCACTCCTCCAGGTCCTTTTTGGCCTTCTCACGCCATTCCTGCTCGGTCACTTTCGATGCTGCATCTAAGACCAGGGTGAGACAGACCCCATCAGACAGACTGGCACCCACTGACACCCCAGACTTGTTCCCAGCCCCCACTAGAACATTCTCTGAAAGGTGTCACTGCCTCCACAGACAGATTTTTGGTGGGGGCACCCACTTGGCATGAGGCAAAAGGCACATCTTGGGTGCAGCAGGATCACCATTAGGCAAGGGATCCCAAGGACCTCAATCACCACGTCCTGTGGTGCAACTAGAGTGGCCACACACAGCCTTGGGTCTCACCCAGCTCCTCCAGGCGCTTCTTCTGCTCCTCCCTCCATTTGCGGATGCTCTCAGGTTCCTGGGTCAGCCGATCAGCCTTGGCTATGGCTGCGTAGGCATCTGTGGGGCCGTTGGACTCCTGCAGGATGCAAACACCTCGCCATTAGCATCAGCTCCTCACACAGCCCAGCCCAGCCTTCTCAGTGGGCTGACAATACTGAACAGGACTCCAGGCTCCCAGCACCAAGACAAGCCAAGATATGTAGAGTTGGTGACAGCCCAGTACAGTTGTCAGTGCTCCAAAGCAGTGCTCAAACTGTGGTCCCAGCCCCAAGAATGAGTGCCATCTTAGGCTGGGCCTCAACAGACAGAACAAGCCCAAGTGAGGCAGGGCCCATGAGAACACCACCCTGTGCTGCAGCCCACAAGCAGGAGCCTCTTGTGGTTCTCCAAGCTGAGCAGCCTGCACAGCTCCCACCAGGCCCAGCATCATGCTCTGTGCCACATCAGCACCTTTCCTAAAACTTTCTGCTGGCTGACATGGAGCTAAGCAAGGGGATTATGGCTCTTCTCCAAGATCCGCAATCTAATTAACTCTATCCCATCTCTGATGTGATTATCATCCCGCAGACTAGGCACAGACAATGCATAGGAGGCTCGTCAGGAGCTGGCACAGCTTCTCCTGTACCCTGCACAGCTTGGCTGCAGGCTCCCAGATGGAGGGAGATGAGACCCATGCAGGTGTCCCCCTGAAACACCCTCAGCCATGAGGAAAGCAAGTTTAATGAGAGATGCTGCTGGACTCGGTAGTAAGGCTACAGCCATGTGTTAGCAGAGCAAGTGCCTCTGGAAGCCCTGTCCTGGATCTGGACTGTCAGAAGATGTTCTCAAACACCACTGAGGGCCTCCAGGAGATTTCCAGGCTGGAAAAAGAGGGGTTTGTAGAGAATGGAGGGTTTGCAATCTTCCCTTAGAGCTCAGGCACTCCTTCAGAGCACAGGCCACCTACAAACAGATTTGGGGCAGGATCTGAACCAGCATAATTCAGTCTCAAAGTCTCCAACTAATAAACTCTGGGCCATGGCAGACGGACCATATCTTGTCTTTCAAGCATAGGTGAGAAAGAGGAGTCAGGGATCCACCATGAGACCCAAACTTTTCAAGGAGCACCAGCTTTTCTGGAGCTGAAGAGCACGAGCAATCCCAAAGGCAGAGCAGTTGCATGCTGGTCCCACACCCACCTAATCATTCTTGGTACCACCGGGCCAGAACATGGGCCTGAGCTCTCACCTGAAAAACATCTCCATTGACAGTGGCTCCTCCATTCTGGAAACCAGCTAGAAAAATAAGGAAGAGAAAAAAACTGTGGCAACTGAAGTGATCCCAGAGGAGCTGGGGTTCATGAGACAGAAACAAGCCAGTTCCTTGGGGATGCAGATGTGCCATTTACAACCCAACACACCTATCCACAACAGACTCACATATATCGGTCACCGACTAAAGACCCTATGCTGTTCCAAGCAATGGATACCAGCAGAGCTGTGTGCTGGAGCTCAAGCTGGGGCTAGCAAGATTCCAGTATCTAGAGGAGGACTCCTTCCCAACATACTTGGCCCTGTCCAGTTCTAGCAGTCCCCAAATCCCCTTGGCCTCAAACAGCCTGTCCAGGATAGCAATGGGAAGAAGACAGTGTGCTGCTCTGCAGTCCAGAGCCATTAACCCAACAAACCCTCCCTGAGCTGCTGCTGCAGAGAATGTGATGTGTGGAGACTCCTGCCATTCCTGAGGCCAGGCTGTGGTCTCCCATCCATGGAGGGAGTTGGTCAGCACCTTTTTCCCAGACAAAACTTCCAGGGCACTTTATGTCTTTACAGTGTTTTCACTGCTTTTTTGCCTTTTTTTTTTTTTAAATCTTTTCTGAAGATTAGGGAAACTCCTCCAGGCACGGAGCTGGACATCATGTTCTGGCTATAGGAAAACAACTCGACCAACTTCAGCTCTGCAAAAGGCAGCAGCTGCTTCCCTCAGCACACAGATGGGTGACCCAGAAGCTGTCAGCCGAGTGCCCAGCAGAGGCAAAACTGCTCTGTGCCTGCGGCAGGAATGCAACACTGCCAGGGACAAAGCTCACAGCAACAGTGCAGCACACTTTCCTCCCTCTCAGCCTGAAGAGCTGCATACTGATGCCTTGCATGTGGCCCTCTGCCTCTGGGCAAAGAGGCTTTAACAAAAGCAGAATCCAGGCCCTGAGCTCTCCTCAGTGATGACCATGCTCAACCACAGGGCCTCTGCTGGCCATCCTGGCTGCAGGCACACGCAGCCTCAGCACAGCTCTAGCGTACCTCAAGGGAGCACTGTCCCCATGGTGCTCACCCTGCAGCTCCAACTAAATCCAGCTCCAGCCTGCCTGACTGCATTTAGCATTGAGGCTGTCAGCAGCTCTCTGGGCCCAGATCTGACTCTGCGGCTCTGTAAGTAGAGAGGTGAAAAAACCACCATTTTACAGACAGGCCAAAGAGACCCTGGGGACCTGCCTGCATCAGAAGCAAGAGGGCAGTGGTATCCCTCTGTCCGTGTGGATAACAGATCTCTGAGTGCCTATTATCAACTGAAGCCCTTAAAAGCAGGGCTGGGGCTCACGTGGAGGCTTGAGATCAGGATTAACACCTTCTACCTGCTGAGCCTAGGACCATGACATCCACAATGGAAATGCTTTCCATTCTGCACCCCAAAGAGCTCTCCTTCTATGAGTGCAGTGTAGAGGCCACCCAGCTGACCACGGATACCTGCATCCTACCTCAGTGTCCCTCATGATACCCCAGCTGGGGGCACTGAGGCAGGGACATGGGGGCTCTGTCTGACCCATGGAAACCAGCCTGAGGAAGAACTGCTCCATAGCTGGTAATCCCACACTCAGGAGTTAACCCACATCCCCACATTCCAGAAACCCCAACACTTTTGGGACCAAGCACAGATCCCAGAGAGCCCTTGTTGGGGTCTAACCCACAGGGGATCCTGTATGCCCATTGCTGTAGGAACCAGCACACGCCAGGGGTACAATGCATGCCACGAGGAACCCCAGAGATAGCCGAGGGGCAGCCTTGAGGGACCCCCTTCGGGGGAATCTCAAAGACCGGAGGGACCCTCCGCCCTGTGGGTAACGGCACAGGGGGCAGACAGGGGGCACAGCCCCGCTTTAAACCCCGTCCCCCACCCCGTGCCCACGGAGGAGGCCCCGCCCGGCGCTGCGCGGCGCTCACCCGGCTCCGGCGGGGCCGCCTGCCCTGCGGGGGCGGAGGCCGAGTCGCCGTCGGCGGGCCCGAAGCCTTCGTCGTTCTCGATGCCCGCGATCTCGCTTTCCTGCTGGGCCAGGAAGGCGGCGGCCGGGTCCTCCTCGGTGCCGGCGCCCTCGGACGAGGAGAAGAAGCCGAAGTCGTCGGCCATGGCCCGCCCGCTCGGTTCGGCTCGGCCCGGGCGGAGCTGTCACTGCGGCGGCGGCGGGCGGGGCGACGGCGCTGACATCACGGAGGAGCGGCCCCGCTTCCCTCCTCCCCCTTCCCTGCCCACCGCTCTCGGCGGCGCCGGCTCAGCTTTTCCTCGGGCTGTGGGAGCCGGGGGTGCCGCCACAGCCCCTGGGCTCTGGGCCGGCCGAGGCCCCGCCGGGTTCCGTACGCTCGGAGCCCCGCGGCACAGGCAGCTGGTGGCCGCCATCTTGGTGGGGGCTCCGCCTCCGCCATCTTGGGTGGGGCCACCGCCCGCAGACAAGGGAGTGGGTAGAACCGGCCCGGGGAGCGCCGGCGGCCCGCCCCACTGCCGGACCGGCACGTTGCTGCTGGGGGGCTCCGCACCGCGCCTTGGCCTGGCCCCGCTCCCGTGCCTACTGTCGCAGGCGGCTGCCGCTCTCGGCCGTCTCCGGAAATAGCCGAACGGCTCTTTCGGGACCCTTCGTGTACCAATAGGGATCGTCAAGCACGCGGTCCCCGTGAATGGGTTTCGGGTATTTCCGGAGAGCTCCGAGAGTGCTTCGGCTATTTCCGGAACGTGCTCGTGTACTTCCGGTCACGACAGACGAACGGCAGCTGGCCTCTGAGCCGCGCGGAAGTGCGAGTGGGCGGCGTCACTTCCGGAGGGTGACGGAGCGGCGGGTCAGAGGCGGAGGAAAATGGCGGCGCCTGAGGAGCGGGAGCTGACGGCGGAGCAGACCGAGAAGCTGCTGCAATTCCAGGTGCTGTACAGGGGGCACGGGCCTGCTCCGCCCCCGCTGGGATACCGCCGTCCTGCTCCGCTGCTGGGGGCTCAGGCGGGCTCTGCCCGGGGAGAGTCCGGCCGTACGGGGTGCCGGGCCCGGGCTGGGCTGGGGGCGAGAGGGGAGAGCCCCACGTCCGTTCCCCGGCGAGGGTGGGGAAGTTCGGCGCGGGACTCCCTCGGGGATCGTGCGTCCCTCGACTCTGCCAGTCGGGGGCTTCGCTACGGGCTGTGCCCCCAGTGCTTCGTTAGCAATGGTGTTTGATCAGCGCTCGTTGGGGAGGCAGGAAATGAATGCTGAGTGAACCCGCTGCCTCCGTGCGGGCAGAGCAACGCGGCCAGTCCTGTCCGTTTCAATTAGGAGATCTGAAATTGTCCCTTTCTTGGTAGTGGTGAGTGGCAGCTCCTTCCTGGCACGCTCAATTAGCCTGTGAGTTTCTATGGAGCCCGGCTTCTGAGAGAGCTGTACCTGATGCACTCGGTGTGGTAATGCCTGCTGGGGAAGGCCCCTGGAGAGTGCAGTGATCTGATCTCACTGCTTGCTGCATTACGTGGGCTAGTCGCTTAACCTCTGGTTTGCAGGGGACCCACAAGAGGCAACCTGCAGATGTGTTTGCTGGAGAGAAACCTGCCCCAAAGCTGAACCAGTGCATCTGCTCAGGGAAAAGTAATTCGTCTGTTTTGTTGTTGGCCAATGAGAACCACTGTCAGGTGTCTTAGGTTTGTTTTTGAATTGTAAGGCATCATTTGGTGTTATGTGACTGCAGCTTTTATAAATGTATATATATTTTTTGTCTTATATTTCTGTATTGATTTGTTTTTTTTTTTTTTAAGATAGTATCTCAGTGGGTACCTGTAGATTAAAGGGTCCCTGGAGGCATCCAGTCCTGCTTTCCTTGGCTGATCTAGGTGCAAATGCTCCTCGTTGTTCCTGACAGTTTCCCAACCTTTATCTCATAGCCAGGAGGATCGAACAGCCTCCTGAAATAATCTACTGTGGTGTTTTTCTATAACCTTAACTTTGATTGACTTTTTTTTTTTAAATACAGAGGTTCTGTCTCAATGCTTACCCCGCATTTAGTGTGTCGGGCAATCTTAATTTATAGATGAATGAGGTGCAAGAGCATTAGAAATTGTTTTCCTGGTATTGCTGTCTCCCTGGTAAGTGTATAAAGCTTATGCTGTTGCCTTGTGCATCACATGTATAAGCAAAAGGAGCTGGAGGGAAGCTTTTACAGGAATACATTGCAGTGCTTAACCTGCTGAATCTGGACAGATAGGACCAGCTGCACTCATCAGTTTCCCTGTTGCTATTTTCAAAGCCCTGTGGGCAGCTGTGAAATGAAAGAATCCCGTGCATTTCCTCCCTCTACCTGGTATTACCATGGAGAGCAGTCTGGGGACTCAGGAGGAGGATCCATATTTCAGTCCAGCTTCCTGTTGAGCCCTGGTTTGAGAACATGGAGAAACACTTCGACTACAAAGGGGAGAAAACTGGCAGTTATCAAACTGTGTGGAGCCTGATGTGAGAGATGAAGTCCAGAAGGCTTCAACACCAGCATCCTGCTGCCCCGTCTGCTCGGGTGCGCAGGCTTAGCTTTTCCCTGGGGCTGTGCGATAGCTGAATTCTGGTGATACTTTTTCTTTTCTTTAGCTAGAATTGTGTATGCAGTAGCTCCTACTGTCTGGGGAGGATGGCTCTGTCTTGCTAAAAGTCATTTGTATGCTGCTACTGCTTATAAACTTTTCAGGGATTGCCACTCCAAGAAGGTGTGGGGCTGCCTGAAGGAGCGCTGTTTGTAATGCACTGTCATCGTAATGTGTGCAGAGTTCTGTGGTGGCAGAGCTTTGTGCTCTCACAGAAGGCATGCCACAGCCGTGTAAATAAAGCAGAAGGAGTTAAGAGAGAAGAGGTGGCAACGGTGAGGAAAGCAATAGCAGGAGGCCCTCAGTAGTATTAGATGTAAGAGCCAAGTGTGGAGGAAGAACTGCTGTCATTCACCCAATAAACAGGTGCTCTGGTTGAAGATAACCACTGTCCTTCACTGTCTGCCCTTGTGCTGGAAATCACCGTTTCCAAGGGGGAAAAATGGATGCCTGCTTCTGGCCTGAGTCAGTTGGGTTATCAGTTGGGTTACTGTACTGCTTAAATACACAATGGTACAATTTGCATGCGTACTCTGCATTAAGTCTGCTGATGTTTGCATGATGTGTTTTGGTAGTGCACGTGTAAATACTTGTACTGGCAAAGCTGTCAAAGCAGCAGCATCTTCCTACGGTCAGGGCTGGCATAGGCTGGTCACCTGCCACCCTGCTGTGATAGGTGAATGGTGTGCTTAAAAACCAACATGTTACATGGAGCAATGATGGGGATAAACATGAAGTAAAAGCAGCAAATCACTCTTGCTTACTTTCAGTCTCCCATTTCCTGCTGAATTCTTGGCTAATATAAACAAAATAAAAGCATCTAAATTTTCATCTGTCAGGACTTGGCAGTCTTGGCATCTGTAGAGAGAAACTTCACGTGAGCTGCTTAAGAAAGCTGTGGTGGTGCAGTTCTGTTTGGGAGGCAGAAGGAACAGCAGAGCAGCATTTGCAGGACTGCACTATTGATCTGTGCCCATTACCTTCGGGCTGATGTCTGTTGTACTTAGGCTAATGCAAAGAAAAGGAGTGCTGTTGGCAAAGGACAAAGTTAGTGCTCACGATACCATCTCTAACTTCAGCTGGGGAAAATCAAGCACCTGGGGCTGAAAACCTCTTTGAAGAGGAAGAGGAAACTGAGACACTCCGGAGATCTGTACCACCCAGCGCGTCGTGTATCGATCACATCTTTCCTAAATGCGTTTGCTGTGATATGCAAGGAGAAATTCTCTTGCTAAAGGCTTTCTTGCTGCTTGAAGTCAGATATTCCTTACAGTTGGAAACCTGATTTTGTAGGCTTTTCTCCGGGGCTGGGAATTCAGAGCAGTGCCAGTTAGAGGCCTGCAGGTTTGTGTCTTTTGTGCAGTGTTTCAACACAGGAGCGTATCTGCAGAGGGTGCGAGTTCATAAGTCTAGCTTACAACCTTTGTCCAGCAGGGATATTCCTTTGAAGTGTGGAATTGCACTTTTCACTACTTGGGTATTAAGGAGATCTGTGGGCTTCTGAGCAGCATCTCGATGGCGAGAGATACGAATAATGACATCCAGCAGCAGCTGGGTGTGTTGTGGAACAGCGTTCTGCCCTGAGGGGTGTTGGAGAAGGTAACGCTGAGCTTTCCTGCCTTCTGTTGGATACAGTGTTTTGTCTTCTAAATATTATTATCCGGGCTTGGACCTACTCTTGTATGGAGGTTTCTGTATGAGAGCACTAATTCAATGGGATTAACTTTATTTTTAACTACAGGATACTGTATCTTCTTTGAAGGAAGGCGCTAATGAGAGACTACCAGTGAGGAGGCAAATATCAGTTAGTGACTGATGTGAAGGTGCTTTATTCTCTTAGTGTTGGTGATATAAATGCATACCCATTTCTTCCCTGTGTGGGTAGGAGTTGGCAGAATAGCCTCAAGATTCTCAGAACTGCCACGAGTGGCATGGGAAATGTTGTGTCAAGTCTCTCATCCTGCTGTGGTGACACAGTAACTGTAGAAGAGAAAACAGTTACCAGTGGCTAAGCGAGGATGAGCGCTATCAGTATCTAGCAGCCAGCTCTGTGTGATTGGCAGTTGAACTGTCTTGGTGGTGTGTGCAGGCTGTTGTGAACAACCCATGGCTTCCAGCACATCCTGAACACCCTTCTGTCTCACAGAGCACATCAAAGTACCGTTCTAAAGGCGTTCAGCTGTTAGTTGCCCTTGCACAGGGAATTTCTTACACTTGCCCTGCAGCGTTTTGCGGCGTGGCTTTGCTGATCAGAAGAGTGGCATTTGGGTGGCTTTGTCGCCTCTGTTTCATGTTGAGAGCATGTATTCAGACAGCAAGGAAGAAGAGTAGCTGCACCTCTGTGGAGTTGTGCCATTTCAGGAGCTGGAGGGATCAGGCCATCAGCGTGGCAGTTGCTGCAGCGATGGCCAGGAGGGGCTGCAGTTGGCCCCATGGCGCTGGGAAGCTCAGTAAGTCTGCCAGGCGCTGCAGAGAGCGCGTTCGTTAAAGGTTTGTCAATAGCTGTGGATGGCTGTTGTTTTGGTGCTGTTTTCTGATCAGAAACTGCTACTGCACTTTTCATAATTTAAAAAGGAAGCCCT